CCGCCCTCCCGCGCTCGATCTCGCGCCCTGCGCCCGCGGCCGCCCCCGCCGAAAGTGGCTGCCTCCGCCGGCGCCAACGCCGCGCTCCTCCCCGGTCTCGTTGGCCCCGCGCTCGCTTCATATTTCCCCCCGGCGCGACGCGGCCATCCGTCCCGGAATGCCCGCCTCGTGTTTGTAACGCTGTTAGCCCGTGCGTTGCAATCTCTCCCGCCTACTCCTATTTCACTGGAATTCCGCTTGTCGAGGCTCGTATTTTGGAGAAGTTTCTCTGAAAATCAGTGGCATATCGGTTTTCATTCTGTGTAGAAGCGTTCCCAAATCATCTTTTGAATTTCCGTTTCATCTCTGGGCTCCTGCGGCTTTTACTCCATTGTTTATTTAACTCACGTCGCACTCGAAAATGTAATGGTTTACTTGTTTGCTCTCTCAATCTCCACTCTTGCTAGGCGTTCAAGTTCTTCATTTTCTTCCTGTTGTCGACCTTCTGCTTCCCCTACAATGTCTACTTGTTTCATGGTAGTCCGTATTCTTGCCCTTTGGTTAGGCCTTATGTCATCTTCCTTTGAATTTTGTTTCGAGTTGAATTTCCAATAGAAACATCGAATAGAATCAAATTCATACCCGATGGGTTCCATGCCTTTTAAGGCAATTTAGAGGCGTTTGTGTTTCATTCATTTCACGGTCTCGATGACTGAGTATCACATACTTAATTAGATTCGACCTAGCTTCTAACAATTTCTGATTCACATTAATTTATGAACATATCCATTCCAATTCATTTTCATAGCGTGAATATAGGTAATTGTCTATAAACCATATAATAAACGTGAACAACAAGTCTTATTATATTCACCATAATGAACAGCTTTTTAGTACCTCAATTCTTCAATCTACTCGTTGTGATAATGAAATATGTTAAACACATATCATTGTTTCTACGAGGTGCTCGACGTAAACAACTCAAAAGATCAGCTGCACTTCCAGGGTGAAGGTTTTAACCCATAGCCATTATTTTGGAAGTTTATTTATGACCAAAATAGTATCGTTTTCAATCGAGGTTCAAACGGGTTCTAAATATTCTCAAACAATCGAAATTCATTCCCCCTCTCTCAAAGGGTTCTATTTCTTATAATAATAATAATAATAATAATAATAATAATAATAATAATAATAATAATAATAATAATAATAGACTGTATACGAATTGTACCTGTTAAGACAATTTAATTGCAAAGAAACCAATAAATTTCGGAAGACGCTTCGCTGGGATTAAATCAGTTGATATGTTCCAAATATCATTACATGTAAAAAATAATTGAGGAATAGTATAAAAACTGAGTTTGTACGTTAGGGATACGAATATGAACACATTTTAAAAGTTTTTGAAACTACTCTTTGAAACGCGAATATTTTATGAGGTTCGTGAATCCAAGGATTGCAATATCCCATCTCTATTAATACAAACTGATCATACAAAACATTTGCGATGATATTAAAAATTATATAATTGTTGCATATTAATTTGCGGTTACATTTTCGTTTTGAAGCGACGTTGACTTTTTGATATTGATAACAGTTATCAACAGCCAATGCATCTCTATATTGAAGCACTATTTACAAACGGATATTTCTCTCTTTTTTTCAAATCCGACTCTTGCAGACAGATATTTATGACTCGGTTGTTTTTGGTCCTACGTATTTTTCTTTCTGATAAAAAGCATAAATTATTCTGTTATTTGGACTTTGGTTCATGACTCACTTTTGCTTTCCGAGATTTCCTTCTCAAATTTCCGCTGTTCGTTTTGTTGTTCTACATTTTCAATTCTCAATAACTTGTTTTAAATGTCTAACGTCTGTGGGCAATGATTTTATACGTAACTTAAAAATTTATTTCCTTTTTTATTTGGATTTTTCAAAAAGGTGTTGATTAGCAGTGCATTTTATAACCGAGTACGTTTGACAGTGGTTCAACTTTCTAACTTGTGCCTTCCTATTACATACCAGCATTTGCACTTTCATAGAGCAGTGTCCTTCAATGCTATCTATTTTCTGTGGGTATATTATTTTTATATTTACTGCCAATTTACATCATTTCCTAATCAACTTCATCAAACATATATATCTACCAAAAATATATGTTTCGTTACTACGTCTATTTAGTTGCCGACTATTTAGAAAAATTGTATTTCCTCAATCCTCAATAATATGTTCTTACCGAAAATATATGTTCCGTTAGTTCATCTATTCAGCTGGCGGTATTTCTGAAATATTGTATTACATTTTGTTTCGTTAGAAAGCACTACAAAACAGAGTGTTTTTACTTTTAACCCTTTAGTCGGGTGATGTAGAAGCATTCAAAAGAGGAGAAGTGTATAAGCATCAAAACAGTTTTCAATGCCTGGAAACGGCAAAGGGAGTATAGTTTAATGTTCCTTTGCATATAATATTCTATAGTGAAAAAATATTTTTTAAAATATTATTCATGAAATTTCATAACATTTTTGTCAAAACATTGAAATGATCTCAGTGACATGGAACAAAATGTTGATGTCTCTTCCAAGAAACGATTATTCGTAGTAAAATCGTTTGAAAACACCTGCATAGTTTTTTGAAGGTGGGTTCCTTTAATCCCTTTGCGGCCGTAATACTCGCACAACACTTTGCTGAATTATCTGATTTAATGCCACCTAGCAGTACGGGTACTTTTTTTACAGTGCTAAACTTACAAACAGGTATGTTTTTCGTATCATTTATTAGTGAAAAGTTTCAATATTTTGCAGTAAGTTGACGATTATTTGAAAAATATTGATTTTTTTGGAAATGAAGACATTAGTAATTGGAGAATTGAGAGAATGAGCTGAACATTTTCTGATGAGAACTAGATGACTATTCATTACAAAGGAGTACTGTCCTGCCAAACTTGACAACCGTTGGTAAACCTACCTATAATATTACTTGCCTATAATATTTACAAAAAAGTAGGTTACCACAAACAGGCCAAATTATTAGGTTTTAGATGATTTTCCATCCGAGAGAATGAAAAGTTAATTCTTTATTTTAAACATTATAACAAAAAAATATTACAAATTATACAGAAATTTGAAAATTAAATATTTTAAAACTAACAAAACATCCTAAAAATTACAAATTCACTAGGTATCCCAGATATCTTCACGTGCTTTCTAAGATCATGAAACAGAAGACTTCTTCTGAAGCAATGCAACACCAATATTCATCGCCTTGACGTTCTCGTCATATTTTTAAAAACAATAATAATATTTATTTTCTTCTCCGAAATGTTAATCATTTATTCCATTCTCTGCAACTGATGAATCTCCGACTATTCTAATTGCAATATTTTCAGCCACATCTTCCGAAGTTCTCTTTTGTAACTTGATATCGCATAAATTTCACTTCTTAAGTTCTGAAGTAACCGCGACAAAGACATTTGTTTCGGAGTAGAAACTTTTATCTTATCTCAAACCCTTCGTTTCAGAGCTATTCGATTTCATTGCTTTTGTATCGAATGCATTATCGCTCGCGGAAAAATCTGTCATACTTCATCCGTCTTCCTTTGACATATTTCATGCTTCGACCTGCGACCCATTTTTCGCCGCAGTGTGCCCCCGTCGCGTCTCTCTTCCTCTATCGTCTCTTCTCGTTACAATGCTCCTTTCCTCCACTCCATCTCAACTCAATAAAACGGTCTGTTCCTTGCCGTTATCTCGTGAGCGACTCGCGGTGCGCCGCGTCGCGCAATCACTTGCCTCTCGCGCTCTCCTTCCTTTCTTTACTTCCACATTTTACGCGTTCCGCCAAACCTGAAACCGTCTACGTTTCCCTCGTAACTGTGTTATGCTCTATCTTGGCCGCGCCGTGAACGAAATGCAACCCTCCTTCTAGTGATGACCTCCACTCGCTAGGAAAGAGCTTTTAGTGAAGCCGTTTTCCTTCGCCGTATCACTGCGTCGGCTACCTTGCGTTGAAATGTCTTGAAAACATTGCCTCCTCTTACCGATGTAACGTTTTGACTCTCACAGATTGTGGAGAGCCTGTTAAAGATCTTAACAATATATACCTTTCAAATTAAGTTTTGACTTACGGTGTGTCATTGGTTTAATGACTATTTTGCATTCCCATCATCCCATATTTTAAATTGGTGGTCTGAATTTAAATCTTCGCATCTTTGATCCACTGCAACCGACCCCGATGGTGATTATTTTTCTTTACATAAAAAGTACGTTGTTTTTTGTAATGCTAGGATAATTGCCAGAGATTTAACTCTGTGTATCATTTAATAATGAATCAATTTGTATCATATGAAATGCTGCGCATCGATATCTCTATTTATGATTTTCAGCTAAGAAAAATTGATCACAGAAGACACGTGATATATAATGACACCACCTACCATAACATACCAGACCCTTATATTCCCCCTCTAAGGTCGCCCGTGCATGGTCCCATGTCGCAGAACCTCAAGAACCAGATCATGACGACGAACCTGTGGGTGGAACAGTCCTGGTACGATTACAAGCTGCGCTGGGAGCCCCGCGAGTATGGCGGCGTGCACATGTTGCACGTGCCTTCGGACCACATCTGGCGGCCGGACATCGTGCTCTACAACAAGTGAGTGCGGCGCCGAGAAGCGAGGGCTGTGCGAGGACCGGTGGATACGGAGGAGGACGCGGAGGAGGAAGAGCATGCCGTGCGGGAGGGACGGTGTGAGGGAGGAAGGGAGGGAGGATGCTGGGGACGCGGGGAAGCGTCGGAAGACGGCGTCGCGGGATCGATGGCCGCTGACAGCCCCGCGGCGCCCTGGTCGATGCGTGCGCCGCCCCCGCCCCCGCACGC